TGTAGAGTAGCACTTGTTGTTTGTCATTTCTCCGATCACAAATGCAGACATGGTTTTATGTTTAGGCGGCGCGATGCAATGCAACGCGTAAAAGACAGTACAAGTCATTATCAGTGTTGGGGGTAACTCATTACAAGTAATGCGAGTTACGTAATCAGATTACTTTTTTCAAGTAACTAGTAAAGTAACGCATTACTTTTTTAATTTACCAGAAAATATCTGAGTTACTTTTTCAAAAAAGTAATGCCAGTTACTTTGTTTTCCCATTTATTGACTGACAAGTCTCCTGTCCCCATATTGGGAGAAATCGGAAGTGCAGAGGAGTTGTGTGTGCTTTGTGAACATGATGTTACTGTAGTTCTAGACTAAATGTGAATGTGCATTAATTCATCCCACTCACAAAAAACAGATTTAGTATTCATCAAAATGAATTAAAACAGTGAAATGCAAACTCAGAATATGATGCAAACCTGCAATAATTAAATATGTTAAATAACACAAATGTATCTAATCCCATTTTATTAACCAATGTCTTTGCTGTTGACCTTTGATGATCCAGTTCAACCATACTAATAAGCAAAAATGACTTTAGAGAAACTAACAATTGTGCTTTGTTTTTTTATTGCTGAAGAGTGTTTCTTCTCCTGCGTTCTACTGTACAGACGTGAATTTACTTTTTCTTCAGCCTGAGGGTTATTCATTACACTTTTTGGTGTGAAAGGGCTTTTACATTTGCTATAAATAGAACTTCTTATATTAAAAACAATCAAGCCCTGCTTATATTTAAAAAGTAACGCAAAAGTAATATAACGCATTACTTTCCATAAAAAGTAACTAAGTAACGTAATTAGTTACTTTTTTAGGGAGTAACGCAATATTGTAATGCATTACTTTTAAAAGTAACTTTCCCCCAACACTGGTTATGTATTTTCTAAATCAATTTATAAATCAATTTCTTATGCTGTACATATTCATAATTAATTATATAAAAGTTTAATACAGCTTTTTAAATCTAGTTTTCCCCCATACATTAAAATGTGTCCTGTTTAATTTTATTTATTTATTTTTTCTGAGCAAAAATAATGACAATGACATATTTTACCATGATTTACAGAAGTGTAGCAATAGTTCATATACCAAAACATATTGTCAGGCATATTTAGAAGAAGAATCATTAGATGACATTAATAGACTCTATTTAAGGATTGCAGAACAGCCCCCAAAAACTGATTAACTGCAATGTTAAATCTTTATCAGTCTTTGCCACTATCCTTCAAACTATAGGTTTTACTCATTTGTCAGCAAGAAGTTTTAATAATTAAAAATATAATAATTTTGTATGATCACTTTTTCCTTTTATATATTTTAATATGTACAGTTCAGAATAAGAACGTTTTAATTTTTACGTAAATACATTATGCTGAATGATGATGGAACAACACCCATATTTTGATTTTATTTTCACAAAAGTTATTTTAAACGTTAAAGCAGGGGTGTGCGATATATATCTTCTATGATAATATCGTAATTGTTGTTTAAACAATATGCGATTTGACATTGAGTATATCGCAAAAACCAAACAAAAACACAGCGAGAGTGAGCGCGCGCGCACTACGTGATGTAGGTCAGACTACTGCGCGTGCGCATTTAGATATCACGTTTTCACTGCGTGATTTAGTCTATTAAAATACATTTAAAATTCCCCCAACATTCAAGATAAGGAGGCAAATATGCCCCCGTATGACTTGTGTCGTTTATATTTATATAATCTGATATAGTTAATATCACACGAATAGTGACGTTTTTCTCCAAATATCTGCACGGTTGCCAATGTGATATTGATTTGATGAACAGAGGCCCGTTTCAGAATGGAGGTTAAGTGAAAACTCTGAGTATGTTAACCCTGAAATGAGGGAAACTCTGGGTTTTCCGTTTCTCAATGGGAGGCTTGTCAAACCAGAGAAAGCAGGGTAAGTCAAACCCGTTTCTGAAAGAGAGGTAACTTATACTCAGAGTCAGTTACCATGGTAACTTACTCTGTGAACCTAACCTGGTCGGGAGCAGGTTTTCTTCGTTAAACCCAGAGTTTCTTTCGGTCTCCTCCCCCTTTATAAAGCGTAAGCGATGTTTAAATACCTCATTCATTAATTCACGCTGCAAAAAAAATGCATTTCTTAGTATTTTGGAGTCTAAATTAAGTGCATTTTACTTAAAACAAGAAAAATAATAGTAATGCAAATGGAAACAAGATTATCTTTCTTACCCCATAGGTAGATAATTTGCTAAATAAGAAAAATACACTTAAAAGACTAGGAAATACCTTATGTCATTTTTCTTATGTAGAAAATGCATTTTGAGTTAAGAATCTTTAGATATTTTGACTGGAAACAACTAGGCAGAAATACTAAGTAAGAAAATATTTTTTTTACAGTGCAGGTACATTCATTCATTACACATATTTTCATCATGCAGACACTGTGAAAGTGACAAAAACCTCTTATACTGAATCCTGTAGATGAGGAGGCTACATTAAATCATAGGGAGTTACATTTACATCGGGAGAGGATTATTTAGACTTTTTTTTTGCCATATCTGCATGCATATTTATTTGAGCGGTACCATTTTTAAATGGTAGTTTTCTATATAACATCAGGGATTTAGAGCACATTAGTAAGGCCGCTGTATGCAGAGCGGTAAGGAAAGTGTCTCTCTCTCTCACGCTCTTTCTTATAATATTTGTGTAGTTTTCTGAACACAAACCCATCGAAAATTAAGCTGAGAACTGTATGAATTCGAAGGATGCCAGATGGAAGGGTAGTTTGAGATATATGCCGTAACCACCACCACAGCTGTTAAATTTATTTGGTCATCTTTATTTCCTACAAATACAAAAGCAACAGTTAATATTTTTCCTGTTGGATTTTAATATTCTTCCAACACTTGGTATTGTGGCCATCTCCTCTTCATCTGTTCTTCATTATTTTGCTAGCCTTCTTGCTGTTGGCTGAGTAGAAGTCAAATGTTAATTTCATTACTCTAATTAAGAAATGCAACAGTTTGGATTAGAGAACATTTAATTATGTGAAAAGAGCATTAAACTATGTGGAAAAAGCTGCTGTTGCCGTGGTGAATCATAATTTCGGAGCTCCATTGATCATGGCTTTTCATAGTCGTGGTGCACGCGCTAAACTCAGAGTCAGCCTACTCAGAGTCGATTAAACTAACTCAATTCAGCTGTTCTGAACCTGAAAACACAAGAGTTTCCCATCTCAGGGTAAGTCAACTCAGAGTTCAAGTTTCAACTCCGAGTTGGTTAAACCTCCTTATTGAAACGGGACCCTGCTCAATAAACAACTTTTTTTTTTTTTGCTGTATTTCGACAATGAAAATAGTTCCAAACAAAGCCACAGCAGAACTGTTTTGCGTCTCTGAGCAGCACACGCCGGTGTTTCGTTACTGAATCAATCAGCCGTTTGATCGAATCGGTTTCATGAATGATTCAACGACTCACTCATGCAGTGATTTACCGCCACCTACTGGCGATTTTAGGTTTATATTTAAAGTATATTTTGTTGATTTCATTTGGTTGGTAACAGTCCTATAGTGTCTAACTATTTGAATTTACTGATTAAATGTAGGAATTTACATACATTAATTAGGTTAGAAAAAACTGGCCTTATAAAAGGTTAAAATGCCCATAAAAAGAAAAAGAAAATCAATGTAAACTTATTGGAAAAGTTCATTTCAGTTACTGCTGCAAACGAACCAACTCACAGAATATGAAGAATATCAAAAGCTTTGGGAGTCAGCTGTCCACGGCAGTCCTAAACCTGCCAAAATACCAGCACAATAACATACTCACCAAAATATTGTCTAATTGTCGTTATCGACAAAATTCCAGAAAATATTGTGATATCTTTTTCTTTTTTTTGTCATTATTGCACACCCCTAGAACACTTTAATTGAATTCTATGTATATAAAATCACTTTGTAAATTTAATTTGATGCAGATACCAAAATGGGTGTGTGTGTGTGTGTAAATAATATCATTTTATTTTTCAAATATAACATAACGGAATGTTATGTACAATAATTAGAATAAAAAATATGTGAGCTATAATGAGGAACTCACCCTTCAAAGGGCCTTGGAAATAATCTTAAAGCTACATTTCAGGAAAGCATGCCACTAAATTGCAGCCAGTTGTGTCTTGTGTGCTTTATTTAATTTATTTTTTTAAATTTATTTATTTGCTTGTTATAGAACACATTATTTATAAGGCTTTTACCTACAAATGATTTGAACAGCTCTTAAAAATCAATAATTGTGCAGACTATAATCGCATGACTAATAATCATGTCAGGTGTTTATTAATAAGTGTCTTTCATTTCGATAATTACATTGTTCAAACACTCCTGTCAACAGACCTTCAGTACTGTTTTTCGTCTCGGCCTGTACTTCCAGTTCTCGCCTTTAGGTGACCGTCTGGTACAGACTCAGTTTTTCACTCCTGTTGTTGTGTTCTTTTAGGAGTGCGAGAGCGCGCGAGAGAGCAGTGTGTTCGTGAGACGTGCGAGGCTGCTCTTCTGCTGACGCTTCATCCTCGTTCTTCTGTCACAGTCATCCTGCAGGTCATCCACGATGATGGCTCTGTATCCTAAACACCAGCAAAAAACTATTGCTAATGTGTGTTAAATTAAGAAAAGGGTATATGTGATGCGTCTATATTATTTGTGTAATTATTAATATTATTTGTGACTGTATTATTATTCAAAATATGAGTGTGATGAGCATATTCATACGTTCTTAGGGAAACGTTGCTATATACAACGCTGTACCACAATGGAAAATGGTCAAAAAAAGTAGTTTTTCTATAAAATTATGATTTTCTTTTCTATTTAAATGCACATTTATTTTAGAAATTGATAGATTTATATACTCTGAACTCATGCAAACCAAAAAATAAGTAGATCCCTATCATTTAAGCTTCACTGAAGGCTAACTCATCCTCACTCTCATCACATGGAAGAACTAACTCTGCACTCTTCCTATTGGTATTTCCGTAGAATATTGCTGCATTCATTTTCTGCAAAGAAGAAATAATTTTGTTGTTTATACATAAATACAACTATACTACAATAAACACTTCAAATAAATAAATAACTGCAATCATATTATTGATGCTATTATCTATACAAAAAAAATCCCAATGGGGAAATACACTGGTACAGTGTTGCCATATGGAAACATTTTCTCAATTTACTGTACATTTTCTCAATTTATTGTAAAACTATATTACACAGTTAAATTGTGAATAAAAATATCTAATTTACTTAACAAAGATGCTGCAAAAAAATTCCCCTTGAGAAGAGGCGTTTAGAAATGAGGTTAATAGAGCAATTTCTGGAGCACTTCAACAGGTGCCTTCCGTGTGAGGGTGAAAGAGTTTTGGACGGACATTCAAATGTCATGTGACTTAAAAACAGCACATCATTGTCTACCTTAAGGCCTGCCCTTTTAATTCCCATCGTGCAATACATTGTTTTTTTTTCCAGAATAACAAGAAAATGAGTCGAAATTCATTCTTGCCAAATGGCAACTCCGTTCCATAAAGAGTTATGAACGTATCAACGTTTACACACAAATATTAAATCATCATATTACAATAATTTCTGAAGGATCATGTGACACTGAAGACTGAAAATTCAGCTTTGTCATCACAGCATAAGAGATCTTTTTCAAAATCACAAAAAATTGTACTGACCCCAAACTTCCACATTACTGTTGATTTGTTTTTTCTGCCCCATTTTCTTGCATTCACACTTTGTGTCCTTACAGTATGGGTCCTTATCTAACTGTCAGCTGCTGTCGTGCTGCCTGAATGCGGCCTGTATGGCTCTAATGGATGCCGGGCTGCCCATGAGCCACCTTTTTTGTAGTGTGACCTGTGCTATTAGCAAAGAAGGCCAGATAATCATTGATCCCACGGCTCGGCAGGAGAAGGTACACCGCACTGGCACTTCCTGACACAAACTATAGCGCACAGGTTAAGCTCTTGATCTGTCTTTTATGTTTTCTTTTCCAGGAATGTCGAGCGTTGTTAACATTTGCTATTGAGAGCGTTGAGTGCAATGTTTTGATGTCATCAACCACAGGCTCTTTTTCAGTCCAGGAGGTGAGATCGAATGCAGCATTTCATTCTTGCGTGCGATTCGTTGCTCTGTTTGTGGCGATGATACATAGGTGCTTGTGTATGTTTCATAACCTGCTTGAATTTTCTACAAGGCAATGACATAAATGTGTTTTCTTCCTACACAGCTGCAGCAGTGCATCGCAATCAGTCAAAAGGCTTCTGAACAAATCTTCCAGTTTTATAGGGATTCTGTCAAACGGCGATATTCAAAGATAAAATAAAACACGCTTATGATTTTTTACCTTGAGTTTGCATCATTCTCTCACTAAATAAGAATATGAATAGGAGCTGTGTGTGTGTACACATTTTGTTTTATTTACAGTGAATTATATTGTGCACGATTTTTTGACTTAATTATCATTGTATATGCATGCATATGCAATGATAATTAAGTAAAAAAAAAATATATATATATATGTATATGTGTGTGTGTGTTATGACCCTACCTACATGCTTTTACCCACAAAGCTTTACAGAACAATTGTTGGACTCCAAGATGGTATTTTTATCATTTCAAGATTTAATTTGCTAGCTCACACCATATTAATTTGCATAATATTTTGTGTTTGGAGCCGTAATGAAAAACAAAGTGTTTTTATGCTGTGCTAATAATTAAAAAAAAATGAAGAGATGTACTATAAATAGCCGTATTGCTACCCAGGTGTTGTAGTTTCTGTCCGTAAATAGCAGCAAAAAAAAAAACTCAATAGAGTCATATTAAGTAAAATAGACCATAATGCTGCTTTTTTTTGTGTAACCCACCCAAAGCACGTTTGAACTTAAAATAGCAATTTAAGACCACTGCCTTGGGAACCGTAGCTTTCGAAATGAAAAAGTGAAAGAGATTTCCATTAGACTGTGTAAGCTGGGTCAGTGAGAAAATTACTTAGTATATTAATATGCATTATCATTAATTGCTGTTCACCGTAGTTGTGCTTGATCTTCCATTTAGTTCCTCTAGAGTGTAGATGTGTATTGTAACGAGTATCATTAAAACATTTAGGCTCTTTCCACAACATCACTGCAATTGCAAGTATTAAAAAGGCAAAGCCAAATTAAAGTTTCAATCAAGTGCATTTATTCATTCATAACAGTTACCTTCAAAATTTACATACACATTTACACAAGATTAATGTAGAGGAGGAATAGAATAATGACAGGAGAGGATTCCTCTGGTCTGTATTCCTGTCCTGAGACTCGACCGCATGGTGCTCTTCTGTGATCCCACACAGGCAGTGATAGCTTACCGGAGGGGGCTGTGCTATCGCTCCTCTCCTCTGCTCGATGGGGCAGCTTGTTGTAGAAGTAATACATGATTTCTTACCATGATGTGACCCAATTTCTAACTGCGGGGAGCTCGAAGGGCACCTGCCAAGGCAGTTCATGCTGACCGCTGTTTTGCGGCTGTAATCTTTTGAACAGGGCACATTTCAACATATAAATCGCATGTTTTCTGATTGTAGTACCATGGACTTTCTCCATAATGTACACTACCATTCAAATATTTGGGGTCAGTAAGATTTTTTTATGTTTTTGAAAGACTCTTACGCTCACCAAGGCTGCATTGACTTTATTAAAAATACTGTAAAATCAGTAATGTGAAATATTATAACAATTTAAAATAAATGTTTTCTATTTGAATATATTTTAAAATGTAATTTATTATTGTGATGGCAAAGCGGAATATTCAGCAGGCACTACTCCAGTCTTCAGTGTCACATGATCCTTCAGAAATCCTTCTAACATGCTGATTTGCTACTCAAAACCTTTTAAAATGTTGAAAATAGTGCAGCTTAGTATTTTTTTGTGTGTGTGGAAACTATTAATACTTTTTTTCTTTGATGAAAAGAAAGTTCAGAAGAATATTTATTTAAAGTATAAATCTTTTATAACATTATAAATGTCCTTACTGTCAATTTAACAAACCCTTGCTGATTTTATTTATTTATTTTTTTTTAAACTGACCCCAAACTTTTGAATGATTGTGTATTGTATGTATTTCAGGCTTTTATATATCCACTCTTAAAAATAAAGGTGCTTCACGATGCCATAGAATAACCTTTTTGTCTAAATGGTTCCATAAAGAACCTTTAACATCTGAAGAACCTTTCTGTTTCACAAAATGTTCTTTGTGGCGAAAAAAGGTTCTTCAGATTATAAAAAGGTAAGAAAGAGATGGTTCTTTAAAGAAAGTTTGACTGAATGGTTCTTTGTGGAACCAAAAATGGTTCTTCTGTGGCATCGCTTGAAGAACCTTTTGAAGCACCTTTATTTTTAAGAGTGTAGTTTAGTGTAATGTTAACAGTTAACCAGTCAAATTTGCTAAGTAAGTTTATAAACTAATATCCTGCTTTAAAAAGGTAGTGCCATTAATTGTACATGAATGCAGATGGATTTGAAGGTGTGAGAAATGCGATGAAATGGGTTTCATACACAGATACACTTCCTATAGTAGCACTTCAGTCAGAGCGTTGTGTTTGGCACTGCTTGTCGCTCGCCTCTGAGGTTATCAAAGCGAAATGTAGGCTCACAAAAGGGATTTAAGTATAGAGAAAGGGCTACAACAAAATAGAGTGCCCAATGGTCGAAATGTCACTGACAGTTACTTGAGCTTCCTACAAGTACTTTTTTACTACAGTTTTGAGTTTCCTTTATCACAGAATTCCCTTTTAACCTATGGATTCCATTATCTCAAGTGCATGCCTTCAATCGCATGAATGCAGCTTCAAGTTAATAACTGCCCAGGCAATCAAATACCCCTTATTTCATACCTACAAATTGTACATGTTATATGCTCAGTTATTCATCATGAATATAAATTAAGATCTTACAGATGTTTACATCCCTGCAAACTCAACACCTTTGGGCGAAACTGAATGTATCTTTGAAGGGAACCGACTGTCTTCAGAAAGTTTCGATGGCATTTTCTTTTCATCCTCTGTATAATGTCTAATACTATGGTGTTTAAAAACACACATCTGCTGTGTGTACAGGGGTAACCACTGTATTTCTGCTTTTCCATAAGCGGCACCAGTGCTGTCAGAGAGCTGAATTTGAATTTTCATTCAGCCTGTTTGCCGTTTTTGTTCAGAACAATTATGTTTAAAATAAAAACTAATAAATGGTTTAAAGGCTGAAATAAGGTTTAGCATTTTATAAGACTTTTTGTCAAAACTTATATTTGAACTGTAAAGCTGTTTGAATCATTGTTTGTATGGTCCTTTTTACATGTAACCATAGACATTTGTGTTGTTTCAAAACATCTTTGCTACATAAACAACATGCAGTTCTATTCAAATATCAGAATTTTTTCAAAATTATTTCAACTGCTGGGATTCATGAAAATCCTAATTTCTTAAGATAAAATCTTAAATTTGTAAAAAATTTTCCTAAATGCAATTCTTGTTGAATACAGGGCCATCCTTAGCTGACGCGGGGCCCCCCTCGGTCGGTCCGTTCACCGCGGGGCCCGGTGCAACCGCACCAGTTGCACCCCCCCAAGGACGGCCCTGGTTGAATAATTCAATTTTTTAAAACATAGACGTCTGATTGAATAGTGGTTTATGCTGAAGATTTGCTGATCAACTCAACACCTCAAAGACAATCGCAGATTACTGAAATAATCGTAATTATCAGAATAATGTTTTAATGCTTAATACTTGAAATGACCCAAAAAATTCATTAAACATCTGCATACATATTTACTTATCACATTTACGATTGTTTTTAAGAACATTTTCAGGAATTCTAATTATTCTTAAGTTTTTCCTTTAGAACAATCATAAGAAATGTTTTGGGAATACAAAATATTCTTAACTTTATTCTTAAATTAGAGGAAAGAGAAAAAGAAAATAGCAGTTAAGAAAAGTTGTATTTTTTAATAATGTTTGGTGAATCTGGCCCGATTCCTGCTTCATCATCATTTTTGCCATTTTTCCAGAGTTTGCAGGCATGGTTTAGCTGAATCATATGAAATGTCTCCATACAGTTTTGTTGGTACAGTAGGTGGAGAGTCTACATTTATGAAGCTATGAATAGGATCCTGTAGGAGAAGCTTCGCATAACAGCATGACTCTGCAGCGTATATGTGTGTGTTTCCCTCATCGCATTGAACTTTTGTCTGCATATTTGTTATGCATCCTCATATTTACAGAATCTGTCTGAACTTGCACTTGTTTTCTATCTGACATTTTCCAATAGAGTTCTAAAGTCATTTACTGTGGTGTTTTCAATTTGGAGAGTGGTTCAATGACCAGCTTTAGAGCTCAGATAGAAAATGACCCAGTTTGCTGGAGTCATGTGTCTCGGAGGGCACGTCCTGCTGTTTCACAGCCAAGTCCGTTGTGATCTCCTGATCTCACAGTCCTTGTCTTGTTCCCTTCTAACAAACCCTTAGGCCCCAATCACTCCCTCCCCTGCCAACTTAGACACAAGTGCCAAGACAGAGCGCAGGTCTCTCTTTCTGAATTGGGTGTCATATTTTTTTGACCCAAATACAAACATTTCAGCTGAAACTACCCTCTTTCCAAATGTAGTGATTTACATTTTTTAATCTAATATTGCAGCTGTGAACTGGCAGAAAATGTTACAAAGGTGGCGTCTCTGCCAAACTAATGTGCTTATTACAGGTGTAGATGAATGTAAGTATATAAGGAGCAGCGGTTTGTGTAATTAGGAGCCAGGGAGGTGCGTTTCTGGAAGAATTGAGAGAGGATACCGATGCAGTAGTCTTTAAGGTGGTTTCCCGGACAGATAGGAGATCAGGGCAGCGATGGCGCAGATGTAAGTGATGATTCCGAACACGATTGAAAGGATAGAGAGCCACAGAGCCTGACGAGATGCCGCACTAGCACCCTGGAAATCTCCTTGTGCTGATGCTTTGTTCGTCTGAAGTGGAGAGAAGAGAAGGTAAACAGTTGCATTAATCATAGTGAATGATGGACGTCCCTCCGCTCTCTTGAGATTGTTTACCGTATGACTGCAGTGATTCGCTTTCGCGTAGGATCGGTCAAAGGCGTGCGTATTTTCCATCATTACACTACCCTCTCTTTTATTCGTTTCTCTTCTCCTTTCAACTTTGATCCCCTCACTTTAGACAGCACCTCATGCTCTATTGGAAATCAATCACCAGAGACCTCTCATTATGACACTAATTAAAGTCTGAATGAAATCCATTGATCAGAGTCTTGTCAGCAATCGTCTGCAGTGCCACCTTCACTGAAAACAGGCTTGAAGAGAATAAAGTTGCTTCAAGTTAACTAATCCTAAAACAAACAAACAAACACAAAAAACACCTTATTTAAAGGTGGCCAATCAGATTACAGCTTTCCAGATTGATAAGAAGCTTTTTTTTTTGAGTTTTGTATTTGATGTACATCAGGCGATCAGCAAAGGGTATGTAGGTTTGTCTGAGGATGAGACAAAGCTGAATAATTCAAGTGCCTTGACTTGTGTTATTCTTATGTGTGGCACTTTGATTCGCTGGTGGCATAATCCTGCAAATCTCAGTGTAATCCTCCCTGAACCCTCATGTGTAATTCCATAATGTCCAAACTCACTCACTCACTCCAGAGCGCTTGTCTTTACTGCTAATCTCTGCCACTTTTAGTCCAACTGACCTTTTGCCATTTAGACACAGAACTATCAACAGGTCTTATGTATGCTTAGTCTGCAGTGTCGGGGAAAGTTACTTTTAAACATAATGAATTACAATTTTGCAATAGAAAAGTATTGTGTTACTTAGTTTCTTTTTATGGAAAGTAATGCATTATGTTGCTTTTGCGTATCAGATCTTTATAACTCAGATATGTCGTTGTAAATTTAAAAGTAATGTTACTTGGAAAAAAACTAATCATATTATGTAACTTGCGTTACTTGTAATGCGTTACCCCAACACTGGATATCTGTCTGCCTAGATATCAAAATGTATTTAACCAGACTAGATGTGATGTTATAATCAAGCAGTATGGAGCACTGCTGCAGTCTTCTAACAGACTTCTAAGTGTATGATTTATGGGTTGTGTCCTTTTTCTTCTCTTTTTTTCTTGTCCTTTTCATTAGTTGGCATTGCAGTCTGTTTTCTCTAATGTATCATCTGCCATTTTCATAATATTTCACTGAAAGACATGAATGACACTTCTGTATTTGAGCGGTATTGATATGCAGACATTGTTGTTTAAACAACTAGAATTATATATTTACAATATAATGACAGTGATTGGCAGTGGCGCCTGTAGCTGTACAGCTGTATGCACTGTGCGTTTCCATGCAAATATTTTAGCAGTCATTATGTGCTGTTAGGGGGAAGTCATGTCCTAATGGTTAGAGAGTTGAACTTGTAACCTAAGGTTGTGGGTTCGAGTCTCGTACCGGCAGGGATTGTAGGTGGGGGGAGTGAATGTACAGCGCTCTCTCCCACCTTCAATACCACGACTGAGGTGCCCTTAAGCAAGGCACCGAACCCCCAACTGCTCCCTGGGCGCCGCAGCAAAAAATGGCTGCCCACTGCTCCGGGTGTGTGTTCACTGCTGTGTGTGTGCACTTTGGATGGGATAAATGCAGAGCACTAATTCCGAGTATGGAGCCATATTTGACCACATGTCACGTCACTTTTAAATGTATGTCCCGTATTTCTGACAATTGAACCAGCCATGCCAATAATTTGTGAATTAGTCATTCTTTTCTGTCAATTATTTCTTTTCAGTGAATTGGTAGAACGTGTTTGTCTTAAGTGTGTCACATTCGTTCGGACCACTCTCTTAATGAATAAACTGAAGCTTAAATAACTTAAATAAAAGTGTACTGTTTAAGAGGTAACTGAGAAAATGTAGCTAATCCTGTGTGTAGTGAATAAATGAATAAGCGGCTGTTCACACTGAAAGTGTTTTTGTGTTCACCTACACTGTTTCTCAGTTGTTTTCCTGTTGAATATGCACTAGATTGATTGATTGTTTCTTTTCTTTTTTTTTGCCATTATCAGGTTAACATTTTTAAAAACACTTTGATCTGCTGGTGTACATTACTCTCATCTGCTGGTGTACATTACTCTCGCAGTTCGTTTGGTCCAAAGAGTCTTATATAAGTCTTAGAAGTGCATAGGCTACATAGCTACATAAATGCTAGACATACTCAAGAAAATTAAAACTTCTCTCAGAGTTAAATTTTTCACATGAGTATATATTACTTAAAAAAAAAAAAAAAGGTGTTT